CATTTATTCTCATTTCTTAGTCAGTGGATAATGTATATTTTTGGAAAGAACTTTGTTTTTTCTGCAGGGTGGGTGGAATCCTTCCCGTGATACTCTGCTCTTTTGCAGTAAGTGCTGCAACCTCACTGCAAACAGTGCAGAACCGACACTACAGGGATGAGCCAAACAGGAAGGTGGTTTGTGCAGGAGAAAATGGCCTTGTTTAAAAGATGCCTGATAATTGCACTCAATTGTATTTTAAAACCTTTGTTCAATATATCGGACAAATCAGTGCCTCAATCCAAGTGTCACTTGAAGGCAGGATTGAAGTCTCAGGCTTTTTAATTCATGCAGCATGATCAAGAAAAGCTTACTTCTGATCAAAGCAAGAGCAGCCCAACTGCAGATGATCAAAGACCTGAGTTAGCTGGTGTACTGGGAAACCAAATCTGTCTCTCACTTGTGAGCTCAGTAAGCTGCTCAGCTGGAAGTGAGGTTGCAATGGGAGACATGAAGGTTAGAAAAGAAGAAAGTGTCAGTTAGTAAAAAATGGAAAATTACAGAGTGAATAGCATCTCATTTCTGGGCATTCAGTATTAAAAGCCATAAAAAAAAAAGACAACTCTCTGAGCACTTGCAGCTTGTGTGCTGTTCAGATAGAGGATCTGGTCCTGGAAAAATATTGTAGATTTGAAAGGACATAGAGCAGTGAGTCATGTCTAGTGCACAGGAAAACGCAATCCCACATGCAACTGTGGTATTTGTTGTGATTTGGTTGTAGTTGTGTTCCCTACTGTAAAGAATAATGAATTCGTGTGTTGGTTTTGCTGTAGACTTGTGATCTTTGATACAAAATTTATTTAGATTTCAGCAGTGGAAGTGAAGGCAATGCAGGGAGAAGACATTCTGACGGTGATTTACCAACTCTGTTTTATGGATAGAAACATGACTGTCATTCTCATAAAGCTGAAACACAGCCCTTTTCCATAGCAAAAGGAGTGGCGTAGTCAGGTTTGTCACTTGTTACTAATCAAGAGCATAAATCAAAACAAACTGCACTAGACCCTTGCTTCTTAGCTAGATATCAGACTGAGGAAGATGATGGGGAGGACAGTTTCCATTTGTGCTAATTAAGCTTTCTAACAGGAAAATGTATCTTCTTTCACAGGATACTACATGGTTTAGAGTAGGAGTTAATAGGCAGAAGCAGCACTCAGAGCCCAGGGAGTGGGTGATACTGATGCTTCCTCTGGGAGAGTGTGGGGGGCTGGTCTCCAAACACTCCCAGCAGGACCAAAGCCTGCTTAGCAGAGGATCTGGGTTTGAAGAACATCCGTGGGGGATGAGTGAAACCATGTTCCTTGTGCTAGAGGCCAGTGTTGTGCAAAAGCTGTGTTCAGGGAAAGTACAGCGTGAAGCACTTCTGCAGGAAGAAGTTGACTGGTGCTCCAGGGACCTGCCTCTGCTTATTTGCCTTGGTGTCTGTAGCAGGAGAGGATTGCTGTGAAGCAAATAAATAGCATGAACACTCCTGGGAGAAAGAGAATAAGCTTTTTTTTTTTTTTTTTTTGTCTATTGACCAGATACTGTCTTGCAAATTCCTTACTGCAACCGAAATGTTGCAGCATCAGTAGCATTAATACTAAGGACGCTTAGTGTCTGCCTGTCTGCTTCAGATGTGGTTCAGGGCTTATGAATGACAGCCCAGATGATGATTATTCAGTGGCTCAGGCAGACTGAGTTAGTTTCAACTGAGCTTACCCCGTGGCCACTAGCATCTTCTTACCACTCAGTGCAGAAGTGACACTGCCGTTGGTGTCCCCTGCCTTTGCTGCAGGCGGCACGAGTCCCATTGGCCGTGTGTCATCCAGCCTGTTTCATGGGTCCTCCCTCTGCACTTCCACAAGGTGACAAAGGGTGAATTCCACACTCCTAGTGACTCTGCTGGAAAAGGTGGAGCTATTGTGAGAGTCAGAGACTTGCAGGACAGTCCTTTGCTTTCTGAAGCTGTAGGCTAATGCAATAACACTCCAACAAATGCAATGCTGCCTTGTGGATGTCCCTTCAGAACCAGATATCATTTATTTTTTACCTAATCCTTTCCTCCTTACCCTTCTGCCTCTTTGGTAACACATTCTTTTTCATTTTGACCTTTGGTTTGTGGATCAGGCAATGATCAAAGGGAATGGTTTGGACTCAGGAAATTTTATCTCTATTTCATAAAATAACATATTTGTCTCCAGTGCCATGGGCTGAAGCCAGCTTTCCCCTGCTGCGTTATTCCCACGTGATAGCATCTGCTGTTTGACATCTGAGCTGCAGTTCTCTAACTTAGCAGCAGAGCCAGAAGTACGCAGGAAAGATAAAAATACATGTTAATCTAGATTTTTGCCATTTTTATCTGTCCTGAGGCACATACAAAGTAATGAAATGCAGTGTTAAGTGAAAAGCAAGGTTGAGGTTGATGGCCATTGCTATCCCCCTTATGCCCAAAGAAAAGAGGTAGGAGTGGTGTGTAACATGCTGAGTGCTGCATGGGGATGTATATCTGCCTCTAGCTATTGTGTGGAACATGCACACTTGTGGTCCCAGGTTTTCTCTGACTCAAAGAACCAAAGTAAAGAACGGATACCACAAAATACAATAAGAAAAATTAGTATTGCAAAAGAGTGAAAAAGTTGTCTGGACTGGTAGCCAGAGGGGACTCCTTCATCCCTATAAAATTCTGTGACCAGTAAGAACTCCTATGGTGGGAACCTGCTTTGGCAGGGGGGTTGGACTAGATAATCTCCTGAGGATCCTTCCAACCCCCACCATTCTGTGATTCTGTGATTCTGTGATTCTGTTGGCTCCACAGAGAGAGATTTCAGTTTAGTTTGGGACATTTATCTGGAGTACATCCACACACGGCTTTGACCTGGTGCAACCAGGTGAGCTCTTAATCCAATTTCAGTTGGAGCAGCTTTCAAAATACACAAGTTGCTCAGCTCCAGTTCAAGAAGCCAAGCATGCAGGAGCTGTGTCAATGCAATGGATTTTAGCTACTCTTTAGTAAAGGCTGAATGTCCAAGTGAACAATTGAGTTGGAAGGGAAGCCCAAGTCTTTTGGTGAGAGACCAGATGAAGGTTTATGTTACATGAACTTTATCTCCCTCCTGTAGGGTGAGGAAGTCTTTTCCCGGATTTGCTATTGATTATGGAGCGCTTTAAATACATAATTTCGTCTACAAAACTTGTATTAAAAATATCTGTGGCCTTGAAGACTGTGCAAACATGTTTGCAAATAGTCACATTTTTTTAAAGATTACCGAGCTATTGTTTTTTTCTGAGAGTAATCAGTTTAATTTTGAATTCTTTATTAGGAATTTATTATGTCCTCCTGTCACCTTCTAGGCATAGCTTTCTTCCTTTCAGTCTCAAGGTCTCTGGCTCTCACTGGACCACAGAAATGGTTTGGGATTTGACAAATCTGAGGTGGTGAAAACCTCAGGGAGAGGTGAAGGAGATGCATCCTAAAGCAGCATTTGACAGGATAGAAATGTTCCCAGTTGGCTGCATATTGCTTTGGGAAGCTCTTGGGCTTTTTCCAGTTGCAACCAGTCCCTTTCTCCCTTCTGTGGGTTTCTCTCTTCCGTGCTTTATCAGATTGATTTCTGGATGTGCTTACAAGGCTAAATTCAGAAGCTGTTTGCTTTTACATGCTTCTGGCCTTTCAAAACCGTGTTGGAGACACCTGGAGATGTTGTTTTCTGGACACTCTCCCTTCCTACGGTTCTCTTAGGAAGTGTGAACACTGTTCCCCAGAACAGATCAGTTTTGGATCCCTCAAAACTTTGATATTAATTATAAACATGAACTCCTAAGGAAACTAACGAGGCTTTCCTACTTAGGGATTATAGAATAGACAGTCAGGTCAAACATGAATTTTGATGTTGTTTTAAAATTACACCAAACCAAAATGCTACATTTCCAATGATTGTTTAAATAAAGCTCTTCCAGGAATCTTGTATTTTTCTTTCCTATTGAAAATTCAAAGGATAGTTTGGATTTACAACCTCACGAGTTCTGAGATTTTAAAGGATCCATCCAAAATAACTTTCTCTAGCCTATTCCTGCATGTCATCTCCTCGTATTTCTTCACTATGGTTATAACTGCTGTAAGGGTATATGCAGTTCTTAGATACTAGGTTTTAATACAGACTTATAAGTGCTGAAACTGATACAGAACTTGATTTAAACCCTAAATCTTTTTTGTCATTTCAATACAGTCTCATTGAATTCACTGGGCAGCCTGGGCTTTTTCTGGCCCCTAAACATGGGTAGATATCATTGTGTTTTGTTTTCCCTTCACACCAGTCTGATGGCTAAGGTGGAGGAATTTAACCAAAAAAGCAAATATTTCTGTCTATATTTTAATTAATAACACTGTCATTTGTGCTGTGTCTGAACATTCAAATCTTTTTGTTTTCAAAACCATCTCAAATTTTTTTGAGAAGACAATCCCAGCTTCCCTTCCTCTCCAAATACATCAGAAGATTAAATCCCACAGAAAAGATCAATTCTGTAGAGGTGGGCAGCAGTTGCCACAGACAAGGTGCAACCTCCAGCACTTTGCTTTCCACCTAAGAGCAAAATTTAAGGAGCTTATTTTTAAGCTCTCAGCACATTTGAACATCCCAAAGGATGGGAATAGTGTTCTTTAAGTGATCAGTACTTTTCCCCTGACTTTCAGTGGCAGCTGACATGTGCTGACTGCTGGAAAAGGTAGCTGGTCCTTGTTGGTGTCTACTAGATAAATGAACTCTTGTAGAGATGGGCAAACTGGACATGGGTGGCTTTTCTACAATCAGCAATGACATTTGTGTTTTCCTGTGAAGTAATAACTTGCCTATGGGCCAGTGTAGTCTCAAGTTAGGCAGAAATCATAAATGACAACTTTAAGCAAATTTCCATTGATATTTAAGACAAGTATTCCAGTCTAAGACTTATTAATAATATTTTTTTTTCTTGTCCTTCTTCAGGTATTTTGAGTTTTATGAAGGGCCTTTGGAATACAACTCTACCAAATGCCTGGAATTACGGCAGGACATCATTGAGGTGAAGGTTTTGTCTATGTAAGTATGAAAGAATGTTTGCTAAAATGTTACTTTTCAGACAGGATGAAAATGATAACTTACAACAAGATGGCCAAAGATGCAAGGATTAAGAGATCCCATCAATAGGGATCTCTTCAGCGTTTTGAGGTTCTCCTATATGTGCAAATAGTCACATTTGAATTTGATCTGAGGTCCATTTGAAAAAACTGGAGGCATTTCACATACATTGAGGCATTTTGGTCAGGTCTAGTATTACTGTTTAGAATGAAATACACTGTGATATTATTTGTAATATTATATTCCAGATCCTCTGCTGAGGGTAACTGAAGAGTAACAACAGCCAGACTGACTCGTAGCAAGTGTCCATCTAGCCTAAGGCCCTGTGATTGACAGTGGCCAGCAGTGAAGGCTAAGAAATGAAGCAAAAAGGTTAGCCCTTCCTGATCGCAAACACTGGCATGGGGACTAACTTGAGTTACTAGACTACAGTAGTCAAGGTGGATAACAGATCTCTCTGTTAATTTGTTTAGATCTTTTCTGAGCCCATTTGTACTTTTGACTTCCACAATTTCCTGCAGCAGTGAGTTTCACACGTAATAACACTCTCTATAAAGTAGGAAAATGCAATTCTGAGAAACAATAAAATATCTGTATTTTATCTTTTGTGGTCCCACATGCGCATCAGAAAACTAATGAGCTGAATGAGTTGTATCCATGAAGATACAGAGATGGAATGAGGCAAAAAAGTGAGGTTGCCCATGGAACTCCTTGTACAGAGCAAAGCAGGATATTTTTGTGTTGTCCTTTTGCATTTTCAGCACTGCATTGAATTTAAGTGCTTAGATTATGCCTAATCCCTTACCGTATCTAAAACCAGTGGTTTACCAACAACGCACAAAGTTTATTAAGGCCTGTAAAACGCCCTGAGAATCTCAATTGAAAGTGCAGCTATACAAGTGCATAGCATTAAACAATCAAGGCTACAGCATATATAATTTGTTGCTCCAGGTCTGCATGAATTTTGAGCATGTCTCCCTCACTGACTTTGTGCACAGGAAAACGTAGGTTATGTCTTGTCTTCTGTATTTGGTACTGGAGATGAAGGATACGCGAGTAACAACTTTGCACTGCTTGCTGACTTGCAGTGCTTAAAAATAAAAAGAAGGGGTGAGAATGTGACACTTCTGCCAATGTTCTGCTGAAGATGGGGAGTTTTGAATTGCTTTTCTGCGTACTTATCAGATGGTACAGAGAACTACTAATTTCTCTTTATCTTAACCAACAGCACATAGAAGGTAGGGGACTGCTGCTCAGCTGGATGGAGTTAGCCTTACTTTTATAATAGATGCCATTTGACATTAAGCTCTTTTACTTTGCTGGGTTCTTCTGATGTGCTTGCTTCTAACATGCTACATTTCCTAAGTCAGCCCTTACGGTAATGGAAGATTTCCAAGTTAAAGTGCTCTGGTGGGCTACAGAAAGTACAATATGACCTAATTCTTTCTTGTTACTTCCATAGCCTGGGAAATCTTAAGTTCTGCTCACTTTAAATGTATAATTATCTTAAAAGTCTTTGCTTTATTCAAACATTCAAAGCCCTCAAGCCTGAAAAGAACTCATTAGAACCTATCAGTCTTGAATAAATCTCAGACTTTAAAATTTCCCAGCCAGATTATGACATTGCTCCCAAGCTCTAGATATTTGCAAGGATTTAATTATCTCTGTTGTCCAAAATACAGAAGAACTCTAAGGTAGAAGTGGTTGGAATTGATGATATCACCAAAAGTGTGTCATCCTGTATCATCCTAGTAGAAGGAGGGGTGTAATTTTTTGATATAACTAAAAGTATGTTTATTAACAGAAGGGGAGGGAGAGATCCTTATGTAAAGAACTTATGTGAAGAACATCTTACCATCACAGATGTTTATCCCTACATGTGTGATCTTGTAGTTTAAAAAATGGATTTACCAACAGTGCTATTCTGTGGGATATCACGGATTCAAATAACCTCACCAAAAATATAATGTTAGTTGGCCAAATTATCTGAAGTATCCTCTTTTCCAGTACCCCCTCTGCTGGGCCCTTCTACTAGGTGCAATTTTTCTCCCCAAAGCTGCTGTAGTTGCCAGACACTCATTAGCTTCCCAGCATATTGTGGACAGTATAGTAGATGCTTCTTGCTTTATATTGCACTTTTTATCCTTAAGAAATGGAGAGTGCCTATCAGGGAATAGAAATCAGTCCCAAACATCTGAAGAGCTACATCAGTACCTGTGTATACGTGGCTTAGTGTTGTTATGACTGGGCAGAAGAAGAAATAAAAATGATAAATTTTGCACTAGATAGACTTATTGGTTTGATCTATCAAAATCCTACTGCATGGTATCCTGGCTGCAGCTCTTTTAAGAAATGAAGCCCTTGTAATACAGTGAATTTTTATTTTCCTTCTTTTTTATCATTTAGGGTGAAACAAACTGAATTGTTTGACAGATGGAAGAGCCTACAGATGTGCAAATGGGAGATGAATGTCACAGAAGCTAACTTATTCAAGTAAGAATTGTCCACATTAATTAGAATGAGTAAGATTTACTTTAGTTTTAATTTAGTTTCCTGAAGAGAGAGCAAACCTTCATATCAATAGCAAGAGTAGGAATTATAACCCTGTTATTATTGGAGTACCATCCTTTTGAATAAATATGGACTTTTTCTACTTTGAAAAAGTCAATAGCAAGAGTGAAAGAGAGCTTTTCTGGCATGTCTTTTCATGTAAGGCAGGGAATTTGGTATGGGAAAGATTTTTCCAGGTGTGATTGAAGCTGATGTGAGGATAAAGCCAAGACCTAATGGCTGCACCTAATACATCAACCTAACTCTCTGGTGGTATAAAATGCTAATATTGTTGATGACACTGCAAATTTGGCCTACAAAATAATAAAACTGCATTTTTTCTGTGATGTATTAGGTACTGTCAGATCCTGTTTATGACTTCCTTTTTTTTAATGACTTCTCAGCTATGGCTTTTCTCTGACTATCTAGATATTTTTTCTGGTCTCCAGAGACCTCTGCAGTTTGTTTCTGTAGTATTCTGTCTTCCTTCATGTAACTTCCTCTTTACTGAAGGTCCTCCATGGTCCTTTCAAGATACAACTTTTGAAATTTGTCTTGTGAAGGCAATAGTAGAATGAAGCCAAAACAATATTTGAATGTTTTATACTGGTATATTCAAGGGCCATATTTGAGTAGGTCTACAGAACCCATTTCAGAGTAAGTGGAATATGGACTGGTTAAATCTGTAAGTCACTAGCATGATTCAGAGTTGTTGCTTAGAATAAAGCCCCACAACTTTCTCCCAAATTCTCTTGCATGATTCCAGGATATAGCTGTCACGAGTTAATAAGAGAATGTGAGAATGCATGTGCTCAGTTAGTCATTAACATCTTTAAAAATAACTAATTGTTAGTCCTAGGCTCATAGCAGTTTTTCCAACAGGGGCTCCATACATAAGTTTTTTCAGATTTTTTAATTTTTTTTTTCTTGAAATGACTTGATAGGCAATTATCAAATCACATTTTGAAGACAAGAGCCATTCAGGATTAGAGTGTACTATCTTAAAGATTGCTCAGAGTAAGAGGTCTAATGGTTGTGCCTAGAGTACAAGGAGCACATTGAAGCATGGAGGCCAGCCCAGAGCTGGGAGCAAAGAGAAAGGACTATCTAAAGACCATCAGGAGGACCATCACTCTCAGGCCACCCACACCAGCACATTAAGCAAAGAAACTTTCTCCATCGTAGGGAGTGCATTGAGAGAAAGAAGAGATGAAAGACTCCTGTTGCTGACTGTACCCATGTGGCTGATGTATCCCTGTTTAAGAAACTCCCACTGGCATCTAGATGTAGACTAACCTTTGCTAGCTGGTTCCAGGATCAACAATCATGCTAGTCATAGAATCACAGAGTCACAGAATTACCTCAATTGGAAAAGACCTAGAAGATCACCAAATCCAATTGTTAAAAAAAAAGGTTTTTTTCAAGAAAAAAAAGAAGTTCAAAGTCTGTTTTATTTTTATCTTATGGGACAGAGACTTCAGTGCATGAATGTGTGAGGAAACTGTAGTCCTTTAAAAGCAGACCAAAGTCTCTGAGTTTGGAAGTAGACTAGTAGGAAGCTAAAAGGTGGTGGTCTAACAACACTGAATTGTGGGCTTTCGAACTTTGCCAGTTCTGGACCATCAGGTGAGATTGGAAGAATCCAGCAAAAGTTAAATGTCAGCTACTTAAACAGTAGGGAGGGACGAAGCACAAAAATCACAGCCTTTTTAGCTGGAGACTAAGAAAAACAATTTCCTTGACAGTCTTCTTCCATCGGATATCAGTTATTTACTTTAAGGAACGTGCCTCTGGAAAACCAGTTGGACATTAGATTAAAGAGCAATATCTCTTTCAATTCCTTAATGCAGACCTAATGAAGATTTTTTTCATATCTCAAATATCACAATTTAATCCCAGTGCCTTTTTGTAATTATTTAATTACTATAAATTATTCATTGACTTATTTAGTCTCAATTGCTACTTTGATCTGATCGTCCAATTGTGTCATTTTTCATGAGTCGAGCCTGTAATAGTAATTGGACATCACTGAAATGTTTGCATAATTCTGTATTTGCTTTCTGGTACTTGTAATAAAGCCCATAAAGAAGACTGGCTTCTTCTTCCAGCTTGTAATGAGGCCACATACCCTAGAGGCAAGGTATTTAATCTAGGTTATTTGAGATCCATTTAGCTTTGTCTTCATGTTTGTGCATTTGCCATGACATGTATTTTTCATTAAAGGTGTAAGATGAATTGAGTGAGAAACAGACTGGCTCTGGAGTAAGAGTAAACTGAAGTCAGAGTCTCACTTCCAGCAGTAAAAGGAGAAAAGCATTCGGGGAAAGATGGGAGCTAAGAAATGGACCCTGTTTTCTTATTTAAACTTCGTATCAGATCTGAAAAGGTTTTCTCTCATGCCCAGAATCCCATTCTTGAGATTTCAAAACAGTTCTTGTTTGCACTGGAATACCTGACACTTTGTCCCAATGACTAAGAAAATTTTGCCCATTTATCTGAGATTTTGGAGCTGTAGCCATGACCAGTCTTCCTGGCGCATATCTGTCAGAGCCACATCTTCCTGATGCACATATGCAAGGTCAAAGGCAAAAATAACACCTTTAAAAGTTTTTTTGTAAGTGTGCCATGCTCCACAGTAGCCTGGTAAGTGGGACAGTGTCCTTAGGTGTTGCTGTGTTTAAGTCCATGCCCTACTGAGTTTCCACATCCCCAGATAAATACTTTAACCCCTACGTTTCCCACCCAGTGATGAATAAACAATTTACAAAGAATGGAAGACCTCTAAAGCAGAGAGGAATTAATTTGTTAGGAAGGTTTCCTTGGGATACTGGGGTCAGAAGCTTTTCTTTGGGGTCAGGAACAGGACTACATTTGCACATATATTTCCTACAGCCTAGAAGAGATAAGTTCAGGAATCCCACATCTTCTGGGTTTGTTTTTGGTTTTTGTTTGCTTGTTTTGTTTTGTTTTGTTTTGTTTTTTTACTCTAAGTTCCTCAATCAAGGAAAATTTCACTGAATCTGAAATTTTCTAAAGGAAAATACAGCAAACCACAGTTTTTACCTCTCCTGCAGCTAAAAAGTTGGGTTTTTTTTTATTTAAAATGCTTTGTTAGGAGTAATAGTAATTGCAAATCCTAAAGCATGCTATCGACTCCTTGATTTATTTGTCTCTTTTTCATTTTGTAGGTCTACTTTGTCAAGGTGTTGCAATGCCCCTGCCTTTCTGTTCACCACCCAGAAAAATACTCCCCTGGGGACTAAGCTGAAATATGAAGTGGATACAAGTGGAATCTTCCATATCAACCAAGAAATCTTCAAAATGTTTCCAAAGGTACCTCATGCTTCTGTCAATTTGCAGAACTAACTTCACTCTACTTGCTGCATTAGATGCTATCCCATAGCCAAGGGTGTAGGAGTTGGCTGTTTGACATTTCTACAAATTTAATTGCTTATGGTTTGAAAATGTTTATTTTTAATATTATATTTTAGCTGATTATCCTATTTTCTAGTGGTCATCTGCTCTAGTATT